TTGTTGCCCGAGGTCACTGCCCTCTTGCTCACCTGCCTTCCTTCTTCATCCTCCACATGGATTTCCTGAGGCTGCCTCCCCGAGGCCACTTGCCCAAGCAAGCAGCCACCCCCTTGTCCCTGTCTCACCCAGCCCTCGGCAGCATCTGACATGGTTCCGGGTCCTTCCTGAAACAGCGCCTTCTCTCAGAACCCAGGACGCCTCACTCTCCTGGTGGAAGAAGACGTGCCGTCTCTCTCCTCTGCTCAGCCTCTCCTGCCCTCCCCTCTCTCCGCAGACCGCCTGCTCTGGCCTCCTGGCTTCGGACACCGTCTCTACTGATGGCTCCTGATGGCTCCCTCCCGGCCTGTAGACTCGTATCCCATGTCCTCCTGACACCTAACAGACATCTCAGCCTTAGCACCTCCACGGACTGGATTCCCTGCCCACCTCCCCGCAACCCCTCAGCAGGAGGCAGCGGAGCCTAGCGGCAGACGCGTGGAAGCTGGGGTCTTAGGGTGCCCCCCACCGCTGGGTGACGCTGGACGACGCTGGCCTCAGTTTCCCCTCTGTGGGCTGGAGGTGATGATGATAACGATACTTCTGTACATAGGGTTGTCACAATGAATTAATGTGCAAAGTGCTGAGAATAGGGGTGCCCTGCTCCCCATCTGCTGGAAATGACATCACTACCATCCCCGCTTCTCAAGCCCCAGACGGAGAGGCCGTCCTGGCTTCTGGTGTGTTTGGGGGGGCGGTGTGGAAAGAAACAGTGGAAGTCTGGGTGACTCATCTTCCACAACATGTCCCCACCTTCATGTGCATCTCTCCGTCCAGGAGCACTCCCTGGTCCAAGCCGCGTCACTGTCACTGCAGCCTGGGACAACGGAGCAGCCTCCCGACCGGCCCCTGTGTGCCGCCCCCAGCCTGCCCTCCGTGTTGCCACCACGGCCATCATTTACTTGAGAGATTTATTATTTATTTATTTTTTAAAGATTTTATTTATTTATTTGACAGAGAGACACGGTGAGAGAGGGAACACAAGCAGGGGGAGGGGAGGGGGAGAAGCAGGCTTCCCGCTGAGCAGGGAGCCCGATGCGGGGCTCGATCCCAGGACGCTGAGATCATGACCTGAGCCGAAGGCAGAAGCTTAACGACTGAGCCACCCAGGCGTCCCCTTCCTTTCCCTTCTTCTTTTAGCTTTTCATCATGGAAATTTCCAGACATGCATAGGAATAGGTAGCAGACCCTGGTGCATCCCACCAACCGTATTCAATAGCAACGACATGCTGTCTTGTGGCATCTTTCCCCCCATCACCTTCCCCTCATGCCGAGGCCTGGCTGGATCAGCATGCGACTCTTAATCTCGAGTCATGAGTTCAAGCCCCACATTCGTTAGGCCTGGAGCCTACTTAAAAAAAAAAAAAAGTGAATCCCAGACAGCACGCCACTTCATCCGTAAAGACTTCAGTGCAACAAAATAATGTGTAAACCCGAAATCAGATGACATTATTCTTCTGCAGAGCACCCTCCTGGGCCTCCACCTCCTCCCTGCTCCTCGCTGGGCTGGCCGTGTCCTCCTGGCCTGGCCCCACTGTTTCTTCCACTCTCCCCTTGCCCTTCTGTTGTCCACACTCACCAACTTCTCCCCGTCCAGGGGCTTTGTGGTCCCTCCTCCCTCTGCCTGGATCTCCCATTTCCCAGATTTTTCATGAATGCTTCCCTCTGGCCATGTGCATCGTTAGTCCACATTTGGATTTTTTTCCTACTGCAGTGAGAAGGCACGGAGGGACCCAGGCGGGGGGGCGGGGGGGAGGTAATCGTGATCTAGGTTGTATTTTTAAACCATCATTCTGGCTGCCTTGGAGGATGAGTTGTGGGTGGGGGTGGGGGAGCAGGAGGACCGTAGTCTGAGATAATTAAATGAGATGATAGCTATGAAGCACTCAAAGGCTGGTACACAGTCTGTCCCACAGGAAGAGAGCCCGGTCTAGGAGTATGCAGGGGCGAGAGTTCTTCAGTGTGGGGTTACCAGGAAGGCTTCCCGGTTCCAGGGGAGCGAGGCTGGAGGGATCCCCCTGGGGGGGGGCAGAGCTGGGGTGCTGGGTGCCACCAGGACAAGCATGCAGGGTGAGGGAGGGAGGCTTGGCCGCCAGGGGGAGCCCTTGGACTTCCCTGGCTTGGGGACATAGGGCTGCCCCCAGGGGAAATGGCCTTGGGTGTCCCAGCTGCCTGTGTCCATAAATCCTGTCTTGCCACTTGTGTGGAGGGTGGTCTTGGGCAAGGCACTTGGCCTTCCCACACCTTGGTCTCTTCACTGGAGGGAAGAGAGACCCTTTGGGGGCCAAGCCTCGAACCTGATTTTCCCTGTGCCTTGGCCTTCCATTCAGACTCTCAAACAGGGACGCTGCTGCTCTGGGCACTGAACCAGCCAAAGCCCCTACCCCCGGAGTAAAATGCTAGGAAGAGAGACTCTGAACCCCCTTTGCTGGGCAGCCTTCCCTGACCTTCCCAGGAGGGTCAGGTGCCTCCTCTGTGTTCCCACCACTTGCCTTCTTCCTTGTGTTCCTCACATCTCCCCCACCACAGTGTGAGCTCCTGTGGGTAAGGCAGCTGGATTCATCTCTGAATCCCCAATTGGTTGGCAAACAGTGGGTGCTCAATAAATACCTGATGAGCCAATGCTGAATGGGTCTTTCGAGCAGGCCAGGAATGGCTGCCTGCTCACTGCAGTCTCGTGGCCTCCAAGGCAGGGGGATAGCCGGGGACTCAAACCCATGGCCCCCCTAGATTTGGACATCCATGGTCTCCACCTCCTGTGCGCTCTCTAGAGCCTGGCTCTCTCCCTCCTGCTCTGCTTGGCCGGGACCCACTAACAGGGTTTGCCTTGGTCCGGAATCCCAGGCAGAGCAGCTTGGCCTTTCTCTTGGGAAGGAATATTAGCCGGGAAAGTTGTGGTCATGTTTGTGTTTTGAGGGGCCCCCGGCTTTAGGGTGGAAGATGGCTGGGTTGGGGCTGGCAGTTGGCGGCGGGGGGGCCTGCTCCTGAGAATGTGGGGAAGGGGCGCCTGGCCGGCTCAGTCAGCGGAGCAGGCGACTCCTCATCTCGGGGTTGTGAGTTTGAGCCCCACCTTGGATGTGGAGATTACTTTAAAATCTTAAAAAAAAAAAAAAAGAGTGTGTGGGGTGGTTGGTGTGACCCCAGGCTGAAGCCCAGTCTCTAGCTCAGGTAAGCAGCAATGCCTTAGGTTTAGGAAGAACGCTAAGGGCCCAACACACTCGGGGCCAGTGCTGAACTTGGTCTTGGACGCCATGAGTTTGAGGCACCTGTGGCCTCTCCGCGGAGCCAAAATGACTAGATGGTTGGGAATGTTACCCCCCAAGGAGGGAGGGATGGAGACTGCAACCAGTTCTCGGGGGATGAAAGGACAGGAAGTCCCTGGCTGGGGCAGGGGGACAGGGAGGCCCTGACAGCCAAGCCCCCGTTCCTTGTAAGTAGGGGTGCCGGGCAGAGGTCCCCCGGTCGTAAGCTGAGGATGAAAGCCATCCCTGTGGGTTGCCCCTCCTCCTACCTCCCTGGAAGGGAACAAAGCACCCAGTTTGTGGGGACAGCCTCCAAACTCTGGCTCACGCACGAGACTCAACCAGCCAGGGTGTGAAACCTGCCCTTTGCAGGCAGGTAGGTCCCGGCCCAGGCTGCCAGGTGGCGGCCAGCAGAGGAAAGGGCATCCTCCAAAGCCCCGATCCTCTATGCTGACGAGCAGAGCTGCTGTCCGGGGACAGTGGCGCAGGGTGGCCGGCCGCTCTGGCCGGGAGCTGGGACAAGCCCTTCCAGCCACAGTCAGCGCCGATACCCGTGATCGCACGCGCGGATGGGCTCAGGTGTGTGGCGGCGTCCCCCGGGAAGGAGAAACAAGAGACACAGGCTGGTTGAGGCCCAGCTGTCAGGACACATGGCGTGGCTCCAAGACAGGCAGAGGCCGCAGAGGGGAAAGGGGGCTGCTGGACCGACCACAGATGGACAGGACGGGACAGGCTGCAGAAACCCGGGCAGAGCTGGAAGGCAGGTGAGGACCACAGGGATGCTCTGATCGCCCTGCTCCCCACTCTATTTCTCCATCCTTGGCTCCTACGGGATTTCTAGGTGATTCTAGGTCTCCCCATTCCACAGATGAAGAAGCAGAGTTCCAGAACACGCCACCCTCGCTCCAAGTACACTTGGTCTGGGAACACAGCTTTCCGCGTTGCCCACCAGCTCTCACTGCCTTGGGCAGGTAGGCAGAGCGAAGGCCTTGCTCCCCCTGTACTCCAGAGCACGTCTCCCCCTCCTGTGCCTCAGTGGCCCCACCTTTAAGGTGGGACCTAGTGCTGCTGTGTTGGGGCCGAGGGGGGGGTTAAGTGGGTTCGTGCGTTAAGCACAAGGACAGCGGCTGGCGCAGGACGGGCACTTCGTGTCAGCTCTGAGGGCTGGAACCTGGGAACCCGGGGACGTCATCCTGCTCGGGAGACAGAGACCTGGGTGCACTTAGGCCTGGGGCTCCCCCGGGTTCCAGGGTGACATGGGGCAAGGGTTAGGGACGGTCCTGCCACACTGGCTGATTGGGTTTCCACGAGGCATGAGCTGTGCAGATTCACCGAGAAGTCAGACCGAGCAGGTCCAGGCTGACCCGGCCACACCGGGCAGCTCACCTGGTTAACGTGTTGGACTCAGCTCTCTCGTGCCTACATCAGGTTCTAAGCTTGCACCACCAAACAATTCAGAAAAGGGACATCTGCAGGAAGGCCCCGTCTCCAGGGGGTGTCAGGGATGCCCAGAGCCTGGGGTGCCCTCCCCTGCACCGAGCACGGGGCACGTTCGGGTGTAACAGTGAGGCCCCAGAAAGTGGGGCGGACACAGAAGACCCCAGAACCTGGTGTTACAGTAAATGCTGACGCACACGAAGCCCACCTCGCGCGTCCCAGGAAGCGGCCCCTGGTGGGATGGTGGACAGGACACGGCCTACACTCATGGGGGGACACGGGTCTGAATGGAAGGCGGTCATTGCTTTAATTCGGGTCGGGATCCACACCGGGGCCCTGCCAGCCCCGCTGTAGTGGGATCACTGCCCACTCCATGGACATGATTGTTTACAAAAATAAATACGAAAAAGCAGCAACTCTTGAGTGATCGAGGAATTAATCTGACAGCAAGTAAATGTGTTGAAGCGTCCGGCACACCTCCTAATTGCACCAAAAGGATCTGGAAGCACTTGGTTTGGTCTCAGAGGCAAAATGGAAGGAGGGGTGGGCTCGGCCTCCTCGGCCCGTCACAGTTCTGAGTCTGCGTACATCCCATTGATGAGATAGTCCACCTGCGTGTACTCTTTCTTCCTGTAACTCTCGTAGGCTTGCAGGGCTAGCAGAACCAACACTATGATGAAAAGAGTCACCCCGAGCAAGAGCACTGCCAGGAGGAAACCTCTGTTCACCAGAGACGGGCTGAGGGGCTTGGCAGTGACCACCACGTACTGGCCTTGGCTGCTGAGTGGGCACAAGGCTGTGGGTGGCATCTTCGAGCCCCCGGGACTCCCGGACGCTGGCGCGGTGGACGCGGGACCAGGAGAGGTTCCAGGCAGCACCTGCCCGGGGGCCCCCCGGGTCGATGGAGCAGGGCTCGGCCGGGTCGTGGGGGGCGTGGCCTCCCCCCTGGGGGTCGGGCTGCCGTGGGGCGCAGGCGCTGACGCTGTGCTGGTAGTCGGCTCCTGGGCCGGGGCCGTGGTGCCGGTCACCGCTATGGTGGCCGCGGGAGCCGTGGAAGCCACAGGTGGGCGGGTGGGCTCTGAGGTGCTGTTGGAGAGGGTGGGCATGGGCCCACTTGCCGTGCCAGCCGCGGGCTGGGCCGCTGATGCCTGGACGGCGGGGGCTTGCGTGGACACGTTAGGCGCTTGCGTGGACACGTTAGGCGCTTGCGTGGACACGTTAGGCGCTTGCGTGGACACGTTAGGCGCTTGCGTGGACACGTTAGGCGCTTGTGGACCCGACGGGGGCGTGGGGCTGGCTGTGGGGTTGCTGGGGGCATGCTGGGAAGGGCTGCGGGCACCCGCTGTGGTCCCAGCGGCAGGCTGAGCGCTGGTGGCCAGTGTCGTCAGGGCGGCTGTGCCCGGCAGCGGGCTGCCGCTCAGCACCTGCACGCGAGGGACGCTGACGGTGGCGGAGGGCGGGGTCCGCCCTGCCGCCGCTGAAGCAGGTGGCAGGGGTGCCCTGGAGGCGACTGGGTCAGGGGCACCTTCCGTCCCTGCGTCGTCTGTCCTGAGAGTGCTCCCTGCTGTGACCGAAGGAGAGCTGGCGTTGGCCGCCGGGCTCGCTGTGGCCAATGGGACAGGAGAAGGTGTCACCGCGGTCATTGTTTCAGACGTTCCATGAAGGACTCTCGTAACTGTCATCACAGATGCATCTTTCTCGTCCGGATTATCTGTCTCGTTGAGGACTGAGTGCCCTTGAAGTCAGAAAAGGGAGAAAAAGATACCATCACTTTCCATCCTGTGCAGGTAGATGATTGAGAGAGTGTCTTAATTTCTGGCCCATTGGCCTGGCCTGGGTGGCCTTTCCCCGCAGCCCAGTGAGAACAAAGGAGGTGATAGGTGAACACCTTTCCCTCTTATCTTCCCCCTGAGCACACGGAGCCTGCTACCCCTCGGAGGGGCACTTGGCACTTTGGTGTAAAAACTCCCTCGTTTTCTGAACCCTGAACCCATTGAAGTCTCAAGAGCTTCACTCTTTGACCCAATTCCCACAACCTCAGACAGAGTGAAAGTCTCACCTTAGAGGCGGGATTCACCATTAACAAAACCCATCAAACATGCACCCGGCTTTAGAAACCAGATAAATCCTTGCCCAGGTATTCACACCATAAAACAATTCTTGGCTTTCGGCAAGGGTTTGTGGCAGGAATTCCTGGAGATGAGCAGTGCTTGGCATGGAGCAGGAGTGTAACGAAATATCTGATGTGTGAACAGATGAATTCGCCAGTGAAGATCAGGTTTACAGAAGAAATTTTGCAGGGCCAAATGAATGACCCTCTCAGGATTCAGAGGCCCAGTCCCTCGGGGGCTTTCTACCCAAGCTGGCCGTGGAAAAGTCTGGCCTGACAACCCTCCCCAGCGCAGCACCCGGGCGGCTCTGGGGCCCCCGACTCGCTGGCCTAGGCCTGCACGCGTCCCTTGGCCTCAGGGTGCTTTGGGATCACTGTCGGCCTGACCAGGAGTCACAGAACTTTCTCACTTACGTGGATCCTTGATTGGCACCAGGCTCTCAGATAAGGACAAGGAGGAAATCCAAACGAGCACAAGGGCTGTCCACATCTTGTGGGTGAGCCAGGAGCAAGGCTGGGCGGTCCCTGAGGCTCCCAGCTGGCCACTCCTCAGGCTGCTAATGATTCCCTGCTGCTTGGCTGAAGGATCTGTGGTCAAGAAAGGTGTCTGGTCAGTAATGCACAGCCTCACCTGGGACATGGGGCATGGCACGGTGCCTACTGTGGAGGGTTCTGGAAGGTCCAGGGTGCAAATCGAGCTGAGCGCTTTGACCAGGGTCTGGCACCCAGGAACAGTGTGATGCGTCTCAACCACGGTGATCTAATGATCTGTCCCATGCCTGCATTTGATGGGTTTAAAGGACTCCTTGACCCACTTTCACTATGTGTCTCAACCTTTGTAAGTGCCCACTTTCCTACCCAGAGTTCCTAATGTGAAAGAGCAGTAGAGAAAGGGCCGAGACCTGATCCATGCTCCCAGGGCCAAGGTCTCTTGATAACCAAGATCGGCCAAGGTCACATATCAGGCCCAATGTACTTCTGTACACTCCACAATAGCTGACCACACCTTTCACATGGGAGATATCCTTTAGCTAGCCAGCCAGCTATTTCCCATTCATCTATCCATCCATCATGTGTCATCCATTCACCTATCTATTATCCACCCACCCATCCAACATCCATCCATCCACCCATCCACTACCCATCTATCCATCATCCACCCATCCATCCATCCACCCACCCATCCATCCATCACCAACCCATCCATCCATCCATCATCCGTTTGTCATCCACCCATCCATCACCCACCCACCCATCCATCCATCACCCACCCATCCATCCATCCATCTACCCATCCATCCATCACCCACCCACCCATCCATCCACCCACCCATCCATCAATCACCCACCCATCCGTCCATCAATCACCCACCTATCCATCCATCCACCCACCCACCCATCCATCCATCACCCATCCATCCACCCATCATCCATCCATCCATCCACCCATCCATCATCCACCCATCCATCCATCACCCATCCATCCACCCATCATCCACCCATCCATCCATCATCCACCCATCCATCCATCATCCACCCATCCATCCATCCATCATCCACCCATCCATCCATCCATCAATCACCCACGCATCCATCCATCCACCCACCCATCCATCAATCACCCACCCATCCGTCCATCAATCACCCACCTATCCATCCATCCACCCATCATCCATCCATCCATCTATCACCCATCCATCCACCCATCCATCATCCACCCATCCATCCATCACCCATCCATCCACCCATCATCCACCCATCCATCCATCATCCATCCATCCATCCATCCATCACCCACCCATCCATCCATCAATCACCCACGCATCCATCCATCCACCCACCCATCCATCAATCACCCACCCACCCATCCACCCATCATCCACCCATCCACCCATCCATCCATCCAATATTCCCTGAGTGCCTGCTCATGTGCCGGGCAGTACATGTAGAACAAAAAGATAAAAGCCACACAACTCTTTCCTCCAGGGAGCCTGCCATCCAGTAGGAGACACAGAAAAGAGGTCACTGCAAGCTGTTGCAAGCATGGAGCAGAGGTGTGACTCAGTGCCTGGAAGCAGGCAGGGATGACACATGGGAAGGCCTTGATGTGTAAGTTGGAGGCTGGTCCTCTGTGTGGAGGCCCCAAAGGTGGGTGGGGGAGCACAGGGTGCTGTGGGGCTCAGAGGAGGCACTGAATTCTGGTGGGTCGAGGGGTGTGGCCAGGGAAGGCTTCCCGGGAAAGCAACAGGTGGGCCATGTTCTGAAGGATGGATGGAATCCACCTGGGAAGGGGTGGGGGAGGCGGGTGGGAGGGCACGCAAATGACAGCAGCAGGGCCAGAGGCTGAGGGACAGTGTGCTGTGACCTGGGATTAGACCAGAGATTGGCGGGGGAGCTGAGGCAGGAAGGTGCTTGGGCCGCAGGGACAGAGGAGGGGCAGGCATGAGAGGAGCCCAGCAAGGAGGCGGCAGGGGTGGCAATGTAGGCAGGAGGAGACAAGGTCACAGGAGGCCGACGGACTGGACCGGGGGGTGCCACTGTGAGAGAGAGAGGTAGTTGTGAGGACCTGGCCACCCAGCTGTCTGCAGAAACTTCCAGAAACGCCACAGCAGCTGAGCCTCACCAAGAGGAGGACTGGGCGCAGCCAGAGCTGGCTTCCTGAGTGCACAGGGGTCTCCCCTCCCTTACCCTGGGGCCCTCCAGTGTGCTGGCAGGCTGGGGTCCCTCGCTGCAGGGGTACACTGGGGAGCAGAGGGGCCCACTGGCCTCAAGCATCCCATCACTTCATGCCCTGCTGGTCCTGGGTGTGCCCTGATCCTGTCCTGAGTCCCGCGTGGCTACCTGCAGGGCCCAGGTCCTCTCCAGACAACGACACAGTCCCATGCAGTCATGACTGGTCCCATGACTAAACAGCTGATCCGGGCACAGGGCACACAGAACACAGGCCTGCTGGGAGTGGAGGGCAGGCAATGAGCCTGGGGCTCCTAGGGGAACCTCCGAAATCAGTCCTGCCTGAAGACACCCAAGGCCTTTGGTCTTTCCACTGGCCCTTACCATGAAGTTCTTTAGTTGCACAGAACGTCATGGAAGACAGCACTCGAGTCATGCTAAGTGAAAACGTCCTGACTGGCTCCTTACCTGACATGGAAGCTACCCACTACCCTCCCTGGCCCTGCAACTAGGCAGGCTCCTGGTGACTGGGGCAGGCTCACTGTCTTTCCATGAGCCCTGAGTCACAAATCAATCACTTTCACACAACCCCATCCCAGCCCTGATCCACATGCCATCCCACAGCTTCCAGAAAGATCCTTGGAACCCACAAAGGTGACCCAGCCTCCACTGCTCAGACCCCACTATCCCAGGATAACCTCCAAACTCATTAACATGGCCAACATGGCCTTCAAAATCTGGCCCTGCTACCTCTGCCCGATGGGCCCAGCCCCACTGGGCACGTGGAATTCCTGCAGGTTCCAACCCAGTACCAGGCTTAGCCACCAGTCTGCCCCAACAAGCACATCCAGCCCTGCTGGGAGCTCCACCAAGCAGCCCCTGCATGGCAGAAAGGGACATGTAGAGAGTGGCCACATGGTGGTTTTCTATCTCCTGTGATCAGAGGGGACTGTGGGAAAGTGGCCCCATGACTGGAAAGCCCCACAAACACAAACCCTTCTGGAAGTCTGGTGCATTCCTTGATGCTTCTCACCCCTTTGCAAGAGTCCCTAGCTTTATTTTAGTTTCAAGTTACACCTTCCATCCAAAACTGTCCGTAAGGGCTCCTGGGAGCTTAGGGGTCTAGAGGACTCAGCCCAGAAGCTACCGATCTGCATCTGTTTTCTTTCTTTTCTCTTCTTTTTTTCTTTTTTTTAAAGATTTTATTTATTTATTCGACAGAGAGAGAGAGCCAGAGAGCACAAGCAGGGGGAGGGGCGGAGGAAGAGGGAGAAGCAGGCTCCCCACTGAGCAGGGAGCCCCACATGGGGCCCGATCCTAGGACCCCGGGATCATGACCTGAGCCGAAGGCAGACACCCAACCCACTGAGCCACCCAGGAGCCCCTGCATCTGTTTTCTAGACTATAAAAGTCATTCTTTGTTCTGACAGAAACAAGTGGGGGCAGGGTGGGGAGAGAAGGAACAAACCAATACCATAAGAAGAAAGAACTGAAACTAGAAGGTTTCAGGAACAAAGAACCCACACACCCCACGAGCTGAGGCAATGCAGTTGGGCTCTCAGTAAATAAATGTATTTAAATGGCTCATTCTTTGGCCAGTCACATCTACACAATGCATTTAAAATGCTACCACTGCTGAGCCCAACGTGCTCCCTACACGGACCTGGGGTCCGCTGGGTGGGATGACGTGACCAGGGCTTCTTGCATGTACCACAGGCCTTAGGCCTTCTGCTGCCCGCCTCACCACAAATCTCTAGGGCAGGGTCAGCAAACTTCTTCTGTAAAGAGCTAGACAGCAAATGTTTTAGATTTTGTGGGCCACACCATCTCTGTCTCAGCTACTTAAGTCAGCTGCTGCAGTGCAAAAGGTGGGCCATTTGTAAATGACGGGTGTGGCTGTGTCCCAATAAAACTTTATTTACAAAAACAGACAGGAGGTGGGACTTGGCCCATGGGCCCTAGTTTGCCAACCCTGCTCTAGCACTGGAATGAACTTCAGAGCGGATAATTCAGCTAAGGGACGGAGGAACTGATTCACTGTGCCCAGCGGATTTCCTCCTTCTCTTTCAGTTCCTCATGCGGAACAGACACGGACTGGACTGTCTCGTTAGTGGTCTGGGGACAGCCTCTAGTCTGCCTCTTCCTGGGAATGCTGCTGCCAGGCGGCTCCTCCTTCACCCCCAGCATCAGTAGGGGGTAAGCACTGCGATATTTCAACACCAGGCCAAGAGAAAACCTCTTGCGGTACCCAGTGTTTGTGTCAGAGGAACAGAAAAGGGCCACAGAGGACCACATGCTCCCAGCCCCTGCTGTCCATCCCTGCTCGGGGCCCCACCCTCCCGGGCTACCTGGGAGGGCAGGACCTCTGACGGTGAAGCGCCACAGAACAGGGCCCTCCTGGTTGTGGCAAAGCTTGGGCCCTCTGGCCCTCGGGGCCCTCTCTGGGCTCACTGTCCCGACACCAAGCAGGTGGCCCTGCCTGCAGGGCCACGGACACTCACCAGACGCAGTTGCTCAGGGCGTGCTCTCGAGCTGGGCCGTTGTCCTTGCTGGAGAGCGGCGGGCTTGGCTCCGTGTGCTTGCTGGCTGAGGTCTGGCTTTGCAGGAGGCGAGAGCAGCTTCGAGGAGCACTTGCTGGCCATGGCATGCTTTGCGGCACACATGGGACACGGGCAGATGCCCCGCTCTGGCAACAGACGCATCTACGGTTTGAAAAAAGAGTAAATATTCCTTAGGAAAAGCATAGAGGGAAAAGACCCGGGCGGCGCGGGGAGGCACTGAAACAGCAGCCTTGAACAGATCATCGTGCTGGGAAGGAGTATTAGAACTTTCAATGTCAAGACTTACGAGGTAGCACTTTCTACTGCTGGAATTTCTTCAAAGGAAGCAAGTGGATGGATGTTTAAAGATGAAGGTCTAAAAGGGTGTTCATCGCGGCGTTATTTATAACAGCAAAACAAGTGGAACGGTTATAGAAGATACGGTCCCAACCACATATAAATACTACGGCAGCCGTTCAGAAATACACTGGCTGGCTCCGTCAGGTGGAGTGTGTGCCTCTTGATCTCGGGTTGTGAGTTCAAGCCCCGCATTGGGTGCAGAGATTGCTTAAAAATAAAATCTTGAAAAAATACATAGCTTTCTATTTATTGACACGGGCCGCATGCATCAGTAGATGGAAAAAAGCAGGTCATACAACAGCATACACACCGTGACTCTCTTTTTATTTTTATTTTTTATTTGTTTTAAAGATTTTATTTATTTATTTGAGACAGAGAGAATGAGAGACAGAGAGCAGGAGAGGGAGGAGGGTCAGAGGGAGAAGCAGGCTGCCCGCCGAGCAGGGAGCCCGATGCGGGACTCCAAGATCAGGACCTGAGCCAAAGGCAGTTGCCCAACCAACTGAGCCACCCAGGCGCCCTGAAATTTACCTTTTCATGATCTTTACCATTTGATCCTAATTCTGCCAGTTGAAGTCATGCTGAGGAAACTGACGCCCTTTTGCACAGGACAGCTATAGGCTGCTCCCCTCCCCCTTCACCCCTACCTTAGGCTACGCTTCTTCACCTTCTTTTTTTTTAAAGATTTTTTATTTACTCATTTGAGAGAGAGAGAGCAAGCAAGAGCATGAGCAGGGGGGAGGGGCAGAGGGAGAAGCAGGCACCCTGCTGAGCAGGGAGCCTGATGTGGGACTCGATCCCGGGACTCCAGGATCATGACCTGAGCCGAAGGCAGTCGCTTAACCAACTGAGCCACCCAGGCGCCCTCTCTTTTTATTTAAACAGACATTTGTTAAGGGGTCTGGAGAGATTTACACCAGAGCATTAATGATGGTTATGCCTGGGGAATGAATTTACTGGTGATTTTCTACTTCATATACATACATATACACATATGTGCGTGTATATATATATATACATACATATCTTTTTTTTTTTTTTTTTTTTTGCACAAGCATGTATCGCTTTTGGAAAACATTTCTGAAAGGCTCATGAAAGAAACCAATGCCCGATTTTCTTCAAGTATTTTGAGCTCCGGGGCAGAAAGGCACAGAGTAACCCCACTGGATAGAGTTTCACGTGTAGATTTTAATAATTTACAGAAACTCCATAATTTACATATCAGGAATTGCATTTTTCTAGGAGCCAACCAAAACTTTAGAGGAACCAGGAGGACAGTTGTAATGCAAAGATAGTAACCAGCACAAATGTGATTCTCTCATTGATGAATATTTAATGTAAACTCGGGAGATTATGAAATAGCTCTCACTTCCCACAGGGCCAGATATTAGGAGGTGGTGATGCGTGAGGAGCGCCACGGGCCCACAGGTGCACACACAGCCAACGACACACGCAAGCACACGCACACACATGCCCACACGCTGCCACATATGGACACATGCATGTGTGTGCAACACAAAAGTGAGCACATAGATGGAGCATTTTTCTAAGACTATGTCAAGAAACTCCACAAGTTTCTCAGGAAACTTCTACTGGACACCGTCACTGCTTATTCACTCCCAGCCGGTGGGGCCAGTGATCACCCCCAGAGATGGAAAGTGGCCACTGTAGAGCCCAGACCGGGCCCTCCCCTCGCTGGGCCATGACCCCACCTCTCTGGAATGGGCCTGCCTCCACTTCCCAAAAGCATATTCTAAATGTCAAGATTCACGTGTGAGGACCTGCACTAATCTTTGTAAGTTGACTCACAATGGACAAACCCTTAACAAGATTTAAAATACTTTGTCTTGCAAAGGCTTTAGGGAGCCTTAAGCGAGGGGCCGGCCAGTTATTCTCATTATTAGGGTGCAGGGAGACTAGGTAGACCGAGGCCTCAGACTACAGTAGGTGGAAAGGAAAGAGCCCCGTGGGGCAAGAAGGGAATAAACAGGAAAGAATTAAGTTGTTATTAAGTGGAAGACCCGCAGATGGAAAGACAGGAGTGAGGCTGGTGCTAGGAGTCCCTCTTTTTCAGGGTCAGCTCCCCACAAGTTCAGCTGGGAAGGGGCAGCACCCCTGGAGCCAGGTGACCCTTCATCAGAAAGTCACCCCCAGACTGTGGCCCTAGGTGTCAACTTCCTGATCCTTTTCTGGTTCATGATCTCGTGATGCCTTCTAATACCTCCTGTCTCTGAATTCTTATGTTTCCAACCTTGGCTTGATTTTTTTCTTTACAAGATTTCATTTATTTATTTGAGAGAGAGAGAGAGAGAGCACAAGCAGGAGGAGCTGCAGAGGGACATGGAGAAGCAGGCTCTCCACTGAGCAGGGAGCCCGACATGGAGCTCAATCCCAGGACCCTGAGATCACGACCTGAGCTGAAGGCAGACGCTTAACTGACTGAGCCACCCAGTTGTCCCTTGGCTTGATTTTTTTCAAAAACTCTTTTAGGAACCTGTTTGTTATATGCTGAGTCCTGTGTGCAGGTTACATGGAATCAGACTCCAAATTGCTGGATTCCTTTTCCTGGCCTAGACAGGTTCCTAAGATCTAATACAAGTAATCCTTAGGCTTGGTGAGGGATTATAAGTGTTACCCCCACATTCCATCACTCTAGTAAGATTTAAATCAGCAGCAACATGGCCTCGGGCCCTACTCCGAGCTGGAGAAGCTTTATAAACCAAGGAGCAGGAAATGCGGAAACAAATACAGGGTAAACCACAGATACCTAATCCCAACACATCGTCTGGCTGAACTTTGGCAGCAGAACCCAAGGAACACAGGTTTGTGGTTTTGCGTATATAGACCTTGCCCTGTGGTCTAAAGGACGTGCCTTCCTGGCAGATGGGAACCTGAAATGGATATCGTTTTAATTACATTGTCTGCTTCCAGGTTTCTGTTAAGTTTTGATATCACAGCTAAATGCTGATCAAAGGCTAGTTTTTGCTGGCAATGTGGTGTGTAAATCTGGCATTCCCTTGTCCATGAAGCAAGTCCAGCATATAGATGGAAAATTCGTATTTTAAATACTTTCCTCACCGATTTCATTGCAATTTTTAGAGATGCTTCCTCTAGGGGGTAAAAATAACTGCACGTCGGTATAGGCAGATTTCTAAGCATGATGTTTATGTCTTATGGCAAACCATGTGGGTGCTGATTCCTCCTGTCAGCCCGATCGTTGACTGCACACAGTAAGCAGCCACGGGGCTCTCACAGCCGGGAGGGAGGCAGGCAGATGGAAAGGCACAACCCCCTCCCAGATGGAGGGCCTGGGGGGAAGGCCTGGGTCACCCAAGAGGCCAACTCTTTCTTGGAGGGCAGCACTTCTGGGGCCCAGCCTTGCCCCGGGAAAACCTTTCAGTTCCCCGCGCATATGGGAGTGTCCCGACTCTCCCACCCTCCGCTCCCAAACTCAAACAAGCCGGGCCTCTTCCTCGGTTTGGGATCCCCCTGAAGCCCTCCCCCTCCCTCCAGCCTCTCGGTCCCCCATCCGTCCCTTCCTCTCTCCTGTCCTCCTCGTCTTGCACCTGCGTCCCGACTGATCTTTTCTCGGTCCCCCTCCTGCCTCTCATGCCCCCATTCAAGCCTCCTCCTGCCCCCACCTCCCTCTTTCTGTCGCAAGCCGGTTCAGGGAGCCGTGACAACAGCTCCCCGGACGGCAGCGCGGGCCCCTTACCCGGGCGCGGCAGGCCTGCGGCGGCCGGGCGGCCGTCGGACGGCGGGGAAGTGCCCGCGGCCCGGCGTGGAGACGTGGCCGGCAGCGGAGCAGCGCACCCGAACCAAGACTGCTCGAGGCGGCCGCCCCAGCTCAGGCCCCGCCCAGGCCGCCCCGGAACTGACGTCACCAGAGGCGGGCCCGGGAGGGCGGGGCAGCTCCGGCCGGAGCACGGAGCAGCCCGGCGGTGCCAGGCGCAGCCGAAAGGGAGCCGGAAGCGGGGGGCGTGGCTGCCCCTCAGGCTCCGCCCAGTACGGGGCGGCTCGGGCTCGGGCTCCGTCGCGCTCGTGGCCGGAAGCGGCCAGAAGCGGCTATTTCGCACGGGTGTCCGGCGGAAGTGGTGGCGCTCCGCCTCGGCTGCTGGGCTGTGGGGCCCCACGGCGCGCAGGGGCCCGAGCCCTGGGGGTGGCCCACACTCCTGCGCTCCTCCCTCACACGGTCCAGCCCTGGGGGTCCAGTTAGTAAGGAATCGTGGGGGTGGGGGCTACGGTGCTTTGAGCGCTTACCACGTGCCGAGCCCCGCGCTGGGTTCCGTGATTTACCTGCCAAGTTCGTTGATTTAATTCTGCGACAGCACTCTAGGGGCTCTGTGCCTGTTTTACAGATGCAGAAGCTGAGACTCAATGTTTAGTAATTGTAAGACGCGGGATGACAATGGGGCCAAATAGGGCATAAAGGAAAGTGTATAGGACTTGACTTAGAAGTAGGCTTTGCAAATGACTAGTTGTGTGACTGAATCCCACTGTGTGTAAAACCGTCTCAGGACCCCCAGGTCCAAAGAAAGCCCGTCTGTGAAGGATGATCTCGTGGGAATAAACAAAAGGCTTTATTTTCAGTCTGTTGTGTAACCTGTCTTGAGGTCCTGGACTAAGAAACTGAACCAGACGGTGTGCAAAGACGAGATCACCTCCCTGCTCTGAGCTCCGGGAGCTCCTGAAATGCAGTTTAGAGCTGCCATCTCCAGTTCAACCTCATAGTTTCAAGTCGTGTAGAACTTAGCCTGCAAAAACAAGTTTGCGGAGACCCAGGCCAGTTGGGAGGGTTTGTGAAGACAAGATCCTCTTGCTTTGTGTTTGCTTTGATTTTCCCAACTCGCTCGGATCTAACATGAGAAGTGCAGTATCTATGTTCAGGAGAAAATACACCCAAATAGCCGGTTGTAGTTCTATGCCTGTCTTCCTCAAAAATCAACGTCTGTGACTGTTTTCCTCTTTGGTAAAATCAGGACAATCTTTACTGCTGGGGCTGAAATTACAAAGATAAAGACACAAGCCTCCTTCTCTAAGAGCTCATAGTCTAGGGCAGGGGTCTGCTGGCCCTCTGTCTGCTTTTGTAAATAAAGTTTTATTGGGATACGTTTATACCCTTTATATATTGTCTAGGCTTTTGCCCTGCAAGGGCAGAGTTGAATAATTGCAGCAAAAACTGTATGACTCACAACACCTGAAATATTTACTGCCTGGTCCTTTACAGAAAATATTTGTGAGCCCCCAGCCTAAGGTGTTACTAGAAAATGGTTTTCAGATAGCAATGGAACTATGTTTCCAAGATGGTCCAGAATACAGGAAAGCTCATTCTCTTGTAGAGGAACCTTGCACCTTTTCAATGGATTGGGGTTACCTGGAAGCTAGTGTTGAGCACAGCTTTGGGAACTGCCTGGCTGCTTCTGCAGGGTATCATGAAGAGTGGAGCAGGGCTAGTGTGCTGTTGTAGATGGCTGCGGATGCAATAGGTTAAGAGAAAGCTTTTGTCTCAGGGTACAGATCATCTCAGGGCTTTCTATGCAAATACAGCAGAGCCCAGTGCTCTTAGTCATTGAACTACATTATTATTTGAATATAGTCCATACTAGATTTCACATGCGAAGAGCTCTGGAGTAACCCTGCCTGGCTTCAAACCCCAGCTCCACTTTTCGGCTGAGTGAGAGTGAGTGAGAGGCTTAGGCTTTCTGTGCCTCAGTTTTATCTTTACTCATGGTAGTTCTGTTCAGCAAGGTCTCCATGAAGACCGACTTAGTGAATTCTGAACCATCACTCCTAGGGAAAAAAACAAGGGCAGTATTTCCCTTCATGCTCAACCCTTCATTGTCATTATTAATCGAAGGTTCCTTTTTACTCTGTAAACAGAAAATTAAGGACATGAAAATTATGAGACTTCGTAGAATAAAGATGGATAATGATGAGGATAGAAATATAATTCTGTATGCATTATTGGGCTGCTGTTCCTGACCTGTCACTTATAGTGCTCAGAAATATTAAGTTTGGCAATCTCCTAGGTATTTACCCAAAGGAAGTGAAAACATATGGACCCACAAAGACCTGCATGAAAATGTCTACAGCAACTTTATTCACAATTGCCGAAAACTGGAAACACTCAAATGACGATCAGTGGGTGAGAGGATATAAAATTTCGGTACATCTATACAATGGACTACTACTACTCAGCCATGGAAAGCAGAATCACTGATAACAGTCACCAGCACTGAAGAATCTCAAAGGCATTATGCTAAGAGAAACCAGACAGAGGAAACTACAGTTAAGGAAGGTCATTGAGAGGACATGACCTCCGGTTGATCTGTGAGCTGGACACGGGCACTCAGAGGCTACTCAGCCTCTCTCCCGTCCTTGGAATGTGGGTTCTGGTTGGCTTTCCCGCTCCCAGAGGCTGCTCCAAGGATGTAGGCTTGAGATGGTTGACGTGGTGTTGAGAACACCTGTGCAGTGTATGGGACTGAACCTTGTTAAGGCCTCTCTCTCTATAAACTTCCAAGATTCGGCAGCTGGTGCAGGGATTCACTCACATTGATGCCACTCAAGACAAACCTCATATGTAAGTTCCCTTCACTTACTGAAACTGCCACCTACCAACCTGGAGTGGCCTTTCTCTTTCTTTGGTCTCTTCCTGCCCTCTGCATTTTGGGGCCAGTTTCAGATTATACACGGGAAGCTCCCAAAGAGGTTACAAACCGACAACTACATACAGTATGATTCCATTTATGTGACATTCATGAAAAGACAAAAGTATAGAAACAGAAATCAGTAATCCCCAGGGGATGGGAGAGGGAACAGGAATTGGCTTAGATTTGCCAAATAAAGTACAGGTTGCCCAGCTAAATTTGCTAAATCTGGCAACTCTAGATTGACTACAAAGGAGTATAAGGGAATTTTTGGGGGTGATGTGGATATTTTATATCTTGATTGTAGTGATGGTTGAACGACTGTACACATTTGTTACAACTCATGAAAATGTGACTTTTACTGAATTAAACTATGCCTCAATACATTTAACTGAAAAACAAAACAAAACAAATGTTCTGCTGTAAAGAAAGGCAAAAGTTAAAGGATTGTGATGTTAGTTACATGCATGTGTGTAAGTAGAACTGAACACTTAAAATGTACGCATTTTGTTGCATGTAAATTATACCCCAATAAAGTTGTGGTTTTTTAAAGATTTTATTTATTTATTTGACAGAGACAGAGATAGTGAGAGAGGGAACACAAGCAGGGAGAGTGGGAGAGGGAGAAGCAGGCTTCCCGCCGAGCAGAGAGCCAGATGTGGGGCTCAATCCCAGGACCCTGGGATCATGACCCAAGCCGAAGGCAGATGCCCAATGACTGAGCCACCCAGGCGCCCCAATAAAGTTGGTTTTTAAAAAATTACACGAGGGATAAAGAGTGTCATTTCGTGGGCGCCTGGGTGGCTCAGTCAGTTAAGCATCTGCCATCAGGTCAGGTCATGATCTCAGAGTCCTGGGGTCGAGCCCCACATCGGGCTCCCGGCTCAGTGGGGAGTCTGCTTCTCCTTCTCCCTCTGCCCTTTGACCCCACTTGTGCTCTCTCTCTCAAATAAATAAATAAAATCTTAAAAAAGAAAGAAGAATTTCACTTCAAATTGATAAAAAATCCAACACAGTAGGAAGATGTAACACAGGGTTACCTGGGTAGCTCAGTTGGTTGAGTGTCTAACTCGATTTCAGCTCAGGTCTTGCTCTCAGGGTTATGAGTTCTGGCCCCACATTGGTCTCCACACTTTAAAAAAAAAAAGGAAGATGTAACATTTCTAAATATTCTAAATGGGAATACACCCAATAATAAGACCTCAAAATACACAAAGCAAAATTGGCAGAGGAGAAATAGAAAAAAACCCCAACGTAGGGAGAGATTTGAGTATGTTCCTTTTAGTAATGTATAGAACAAACAGAGAAAACAACAGCAGCAACAACTATAAAGATCATTCAAGACTTGAATGACACAACTGATAAATCCTGGCCTCATGGACATATAAAGATCACTCCACCAATAACTGAAGAGTCAGTAGCATTAGTGGATGTCCTGAGGGAAAGGATTAAGAGTATGATTTATCAGGGCACTTGCGTGGCACAGTTGGTTAAGCATCTGACTTTCAGGTCATGATCTCAGGGTTGTGGGATTGAGCCCCGTGTCGGGCTCTACTCTCAGTGTGGAGTCTGCTTGTCCCTCTCCCTCTGCTACCCCCCAACACCCCATTTGTGCTCTCTATCTTTAAAATAAATAAAGAAATCCTTTTTAAAAAAAAAATGCTTATCAAATTTGCAGCTAACACTGGATTTTTAACCAGTTGTGTCTTGGCTCACCCTCAACCCTTGGGTTGGTCCCACAGGGCCACCTTGTCCAGGGCTCTGTGGAGGGTGGCAATGCAGAGAAAGTTCTGCTGGCAAACCCTGGGGGCCCCCAGGCAGCAAATACAGATACTCCACTCCACTGCAAAGTTCTCCAGTCTAAGGAGAGGCCATTACCAGCATCTCTTTCAATGCCGCAGAACCTCCTGCTGCCTTCACGGACAAGGGCTGCATGTTGCTGGGGGCGTTCGTATTCCAGAAACCTAAGGAGCATGGCTCAGAGTCCAAGAAATGAAAAACTAAGGGTGCAGAGACTTTGAGGTCAAGCAGGGACTCTCATCAGAAATGGCTGATTTAAAAAAAAATTGGTTTTAAATATTTATCTCCTACTTACGCAAACAGCATATCTTGAATATCCTGATTTCCAAAATTTTGAAGAGATCGTTGTTGAAAATCTTGATC